GAAGACCTTCTCCAGAATGTCGTGACGGCAGCTGGTGCATGCTACGGCGCTCCAGCTCAGGCTGGAACTTCGGCTACCACAGCGTTGCCTGTTGTGGCTGCTCGCGTGGCCGTGCCAGAGGAGGCGGGAACTGTAGACCCTTTGGTCTGGCTTCCCGAAGGGCAGGCGGCAGTGCTGGCCAATTTGCCGGAGCTTAGGCTCCCTGAGGACCAGTGGGATGAAGTAGCCGTCGCCTGCCATCAGGTGGCAGAGATGGAGGAAAAGAACGTGGCGGCTAAACTTTTGGCGACTGGCATGGCAGTGCTTGTCCCAGAGAGTGAGTTACCACGTCGCGGGGATGGGAGGTTGTTGACAGGCGGATTGTTCGGGGTGTCCAAGAACTCGACTGAGGACCGTCTCATTTATGATCGGCGACCTGAAAACTCTACGATGCCGAGGTTGGATTGGGCTTCACTGCCAAGCGGGGCATGCTACACACGCATGCTGCTCCAGCCGAACGAGTACTTGAGAGGGTCGGGGGATGATCTTCGCAATTACTATTATGCCTTGAAGCTCCCGGAAAACTGGATCAAGTATAACTCTGTTGGCAGGCGTGTTGACAAGTCTTTGGTGGCAACCTACGGTGGTGATCCCAGCATACCTTATCGGCTTTGTTTCAGGGTCTTGGGCATGGGCGACACCAACGGCTGCGCGATTGCTCAGGCTACGCATGAGGCCGTCCTGAAGTCCGCGGGCCTCCTGGCTCCCGAGGTGACCCTCAAGTACGGGGATCCGGTTCCGAAGAGTGACTTGTGGGAGGGTGTGTATTTAGATGATCTCTTGATTACCCTCCGCATGAAGGTTCAGGAGGCCGTGCCTTTGGATGGGACTTTTGTTCCACCGCCGCCGCAGGAGGGCGACCCAGATGTTCAGCAAGTTCGCAACGCGGAGGAGGCTTATGATAAGGCGGGGCTCCAGCGCGCAATCCACAAGTCCTTTCGCATGCTGTGCCAGTTCCGGGCCTGGGGCGCGGAGGTCGATGGCGTGACAGGCAAGGTCGGGGCTCCACTGCAAGTGCGACGTGAAGTTTGGAAGCTGATTGCATTGGTTGTTCGGCTAGGTTGGGCTACCAAGAACGTGCTCGAGAAGATCAACGGGTTCATCTGCTTCATTTTTCAGTACAGGAGGGAGATGTTCAGTTTGCAGCACCACATCTATAAGTATGTAGCCGATTTGCCGCAGGACCGATGGTGTCGACTACCAGGCCACATCCGCGACGAGCTCAGGAGTGTGGCTTTGCACCTTCCGTGGGCGACCTGGAACATGCGGAGAAGCCTCAGTTGTTCACTCTTAGCCACGGACGCCACACCGACTTCAGGTGGGGCTGTTCGCGCCAACGTCACTCCGAGGTTGGCTCAGGAGTTGTGGGTCCGCTCGGAGATTCGGGGAGAGGCTATTCGTTTAGACCGGAGTGAGGTTTCCTATGCTCTGGAGCCGGAGCCGTCGGAGGCTTCACGCTTTGTGAGCTCGCTGGCGGAATGCTTGGATTGGCGAGTGACTGCCCGGTACTCTTTTCGCAGCTCCTCCCACATCAACTTGCAGGAACTGCGAGCTCTACGGCGGGAGATTGTGATGCTGGCTTCGAATTTCGAGGCGGGGGGCCAGGTTCAGCTCGCTTTCAATGATTCCCGAGTTGCTATCGGGGCGGTGGCCAAGGGCCGTTCATCGTCGTACAAAGTCAATGGATTGCTTAGAGCTCAGCTGCCCTTCTTGGTGATGGGAAATCTTGCCTTAGCTTTGCTTTGGATCGAAACTGAGAGCAACCTCGCAGACCACCCGTCGCGATTCCGCGAGCTGCCGGCGCCGAAGTCACCTCAGGCTTGGATGGAGAAGTATGGGGTTTCTGGGCGGAAGCTTTTAGTTGGCATCGAGGTGTTTGCGGGCAGTCGCAGAATCACGATGGCACACAAAGAGGCGGGCATTGAGATGTTCGAGCCGGTGAACTTGTGCGTGGATGCTCTTGGTGCTCAGGCGTGGGTGGAACAGTTGATCCGGGGCGGGGTCCTCAACTTCATCTGGTTGGCTCCTCCTCGCCGAAGCTTTTCTCGTTTGCGCACCGATGGCGCAGGGCACCTTCTTCGACCTCCTGGAGATCCAGAGGGAGATACGCGGGTGCCTGAGGTGAGGAGAGAAAACTACATGTGGGAACTTGCCCTCTACCTGGCGGGCTTGATGTATGAGGCCGGGGGCTTCTTTATCATCGAGCACCCTCGCAGCAGCCGGGCTTGGGAGCTCAGAGTGACTGAGATGTTCGTTGGTCGTGGAGTGTCGTGCAAGCATAAAGTTGAGTGGAGTGCATTCTCTGATGTTGGCAATCAAAGCATCTCTCTGAAGCCTGCCACCCTCTTCAGCAATTGCCCTTGGGTGAGCGATGTTGTGAAACGTTGTCCGGGTGGTCACGAACATGAGGCTCCAAAGGAGGATGGGGTGTTTGGGAGTGCCAAGGGTTATCCGTGGGGCTTTTGCCGAGCCTTAGCTCATGCCGGAGGGGCGTGGGCGACGGGCTCCGCGGCTTAGCGAAGCCACCCTTACGCCCCAGTATCGTCGACATCTTCGCGAGGCGGGAGTGTGCATACTGGGGCTGGCCGCGGCTTTGGGCTGTCCACTTACTTCGCGAACCCCCGCGAGATTGGTGGATAGACGGCTAGAAGCGGTGGTGAATAACGCTTATAGGGATGGTGAGAAGCTCTACTGGATCACTCTGGGGGTTCTCAGCGTGCAGAGGGCCTTTAAGCTTTCAGGCGCCTACCTCAAGTCCACTTGGTCTGCTATTCGTGCATGGCGCCTTCTTCAGCCGATACAGCCTCGCATCCCCATGACATGGTATGTGCTTCAGTGCTTGCTGGTGGTGTGTTTGGCTAGAGGTAACGCACAACGAGGGCAAGTCAGGGAAGAGTGGTGGGGGGCTTTGGTGGCTTTTTGGCTAGCCTTCATTGGCATGCTGCGGCCGGGCGAAGTGGATCAACTACGTGTCGGTGATTTTTGCTTCCCAGAAATGCCGGAGCTCGCTGAAGGGGTAGGTTTGGTCATTTCCATTCGCCAGGCTAAGACTCGGCGAGTGTGGGCAAAGCAGTTTGTGATCGTGGATTCTCGGGAGCTCGTGGAGTGGTGTCGTTGGTGGACAGAGGGCAAGAAGCAGAAAGATCGTTTTCTATCCTTGAGTCGTCGGCGGTGGGCACAGATACTGGTGGAAAGTCTTGAAATACTACATCTGGATAGTTGTGGTTTCACGCTGGGCTCGCTGAGAGGCGGGGGAGCTTGCCATCACTTCAAAACTCAGAAGAATCTTGGTTTGCTCCAATTCGCGGGGCGCTGGCGGCGACCAGAAACACTAAGGCATTACCTCCAGGAGGCGTTGGGCATCCATGC